ATTTGGGTGGCTTCCACCTTTTAGCTATTGTGAAGTGACGCTGCAATGAATAGGAATATGGGTGTACAAGTATCTCTTTGAGTTCCTGCTTTCATTTCTTTTGGGTAGATAGGAGTGGAATTGCTGAGTCATGTGGGAACTTATGTTTTTTTAATTTTTTTGTTTGTTTGTTTTGTTTTGTTTTTTGAGACAGAGTCTCTCTGAGGTGGGAGTGCAGTGGCTCGATCTCGGTTCACTGCAACCTGCGCCTCCCAAGTTCAAGCACTCCTCCTGCCTCAGCCTCCCGAGTAGCTGGGATTACAGGCACGTGCCACCATGCTCAGCTAATTTTTGTATTTTTAGTAGAGATGGGATTTCACCATGTTGGCTAGGCTGTTCTCTAACTCCTGACCTCAAGTGATCCGCCTGCCTTGGCCTCCCAGAGTGCTGGGATTACAGGTGTGAGCTACCACACCTGGCCGTATATTTATTTTTTGAGGAACCATTATACTATTTTCTATAGTGGCTGCATCATGATTCTGGAATTCTTGGCTTTCACTTAAATACATTAGAGTTACAAAAATAAATCTCTACCACAGAGTCCTTTTGGAGGTTATGTCTTGAAATCTTCCAATAATGATAAAACTTAGAACTCTTTTGCCTACTCATGGGCTTGTGCACCCTGAGACATTGTGGCCTTGGTCGAACAGGCCTATCTACATATGTCTCAAAACTATATTCTCTGCCTTTAAGAAGCGCAAAAGCGCTCAGGGAAAGTGAAGCAAAACCCAGCTCAATCCTGTGTTGCCTCGAGAGTCTCGTGCTGAGCTCAGGGGCTCAGCGTCGTTGACATGAATGGAACAAGGGCCACTCTAGAGCAGGAGCAGATGTGGCTCCTGTAGGAGCTTTGCAGGCCCTGGTGGGAGTGGCCCCTCCCTACGCCCCACGTGTGGCTGGGCTTGGTTCCCAGCGGGCGTGGCAGGAGGAGCTCAGGACCAAATGCCTACACCTGGACCCTGGCTTGGTTCTGATTCTGCATTTATTATTTAAAAAAAAAAAAAAATTTTTTTAAACTTATTGTAGAGATGGGGCCTCCCTGTGTTGCCCAGGCTGGTCTTGAACTCTTGGCCCCAAGCAATCCTCCCCGCCTTGGCCTCCCAGAGTGTTGAAATTCCAGGCGTGAGCCACTGCACCCGGCCTGATTCTGCATTTACAACTGCTGTCTACCCACTTCTCAATGAGCCCAAACCAAGGCATTTTGGTCTTTCTTCGTGGGCACTTACCCAGAAGTCTCCAGGGGCCATATTTATTTCTTTCATTAATCATAAAATGTGTCCTCTGCCTAGCCATGATAATGGTGACCACAGCAGTTACACTTAGGAGTCCTTCCCTATGTAGTGGTTCAATGCCAGCTGCTTTCCAGACGTTACCTCCTTACCCTCACAGCAATCCTGCTGACTATTCCGCAGATGAGAAAACGGCCGCAGAGCGAGCACGCAGCCAAGAGCACTCGGCCAGGAGGAGGTGTCTGAGTGCGTCTATCCCCAAAGTCTCTCCCCTCAACCCCTTCCAGGGAGAAGTAAACTGGGAAATTGTTTCCTAATCATCAGCTTCTATATTCTGCTGAACTCGAGAGATTGGAACCTGGCGAGGCCTGGGCCTGAGCTGTCCTCCTGAGGGGCAGCGGTGGTCCCTGACATCCTGTTACCTTCTGTCTTCTTGGTCAGGACAAACAACAACCCTGACTGGCCTTGACATTCGGGACATGCTGCCCAAGAACCTCCAGCACTACTACAGCTACCACGGCTCCCTCACCACGCCTCCCTGTACCGAGAACGTCCACTGGTTTGTGCTGGCGGATTTTGTCAAGCTCTCTAGGACACAGGTAACGTATGGCATCGCTTTGCCGAAGCCTTCCCGTTTGACTGCCTGGTTAACAAGGGTGCTCCCCAGCATCTCAACGAACGTCAACAACTGGGGGGTCCCACGGTGTTTTCTGTGTGCAGGGCTACTGTGCCTCATCTATCCAACCTTGTTTTTTTTTTTTTTGAGACAGAGTCTCACTTTGTCACCCGGGCTGGAGTGCTGTGGCACAGTCTTGGCTCACTGCAATCTCCGCCTCCCAGGTTCAAGCAATTCTCCTGCCTCAGACTCCCAAGTAGCTGGGACTACAGGCATGCACTACCACGCCGGGCTAGTTTTTTGGGTTTTTTTGGTTTTTTTTTGTTTTTTTTTTTTTGAGACGGAGTCTCGCTCTGTCACCCAGGCTGGAGTGCAGTGGTGCAATCTCGGCTTTTTTACGTCATTCTCCTGCCTCAGCCTCCTGAGTAGCTGGGACTACAGGCGCCCGCCACCTCGCCCGGCTAGTTTTTTTGTACGTTTTAGTAGAGACGGGGTTTCACCGTGTTAGCCAGGATGGTCTCGATCTCCTGACCTCGTGATCCGCCTGTCTCGGCCTCCCAAAGTGCTGGGATTATAGGCTTGAGCCACCGCGCCCGGCCCTAGTTTTTGTTTTCAGTAGGGACAGAGTTTTACCATGTTGCCCAGGCAGGATCTCAAACTCCTGGGTTCAAGCAATCTGCCTGTCTCAGCCTCCCAGAGTGCTGGGATTACAGGTGTGAGCCACTGCACTTGGCCATCTCCGTTTCTTCAATTTTTCATTTCCTTAGAGAAAGGTGGAAGAGACCCCTGCTCAAGGACACCCACACCCCACAATGTTGCCAGTCAGGCTGGAAGTGCCCCCAGACACCTGACAAAAGCAAATGGTAAATTATCTCTGGAAAAAATGAGCTTAAATCCAGACCTAGAAGAATTTTCACAAAGCAAGTTACCTGAAATTAGCTCAATTAAGAAAAAAAATACAAAACATATGAGAAAAAAAGACATTATAAATGAGAACCAGCGGAATCAGACCCACAAAGATTTCACTTAGTGGAATTACCAGACAATTAATAGGACATAAGAACGTTTAATATGTATAAATAAATAAGAGGTTTAAATATGAGCAAAGGACAAAAAAGTCTAAAAATGGACATCCTGACTTGGTACAAAAACACAAATAGAATTTCTAGAAATGGAAAATCAGTATCAAAAATTAATAATCCAGGTCACTCGCGGTGGCTCATGCCTATAATCCCAGCACTTTGGGAGGCTAAAGTAGGTGGATCACCTGAGGTCAGGAGTTTGAGATCAGCCTGGCCAACATGGTGGAACCCCATCTCTACTAAAAGTACAAAAAATTATCCAGTCGTGGTGGTGGGCGCCTGTAATCCCAGCTACTCGGGAGGTGGAAGAATCACTTGAACCCAGGAGTTGGAGTTTGCGGTGAGCCGAGATCGCACCACTGCACTCCAGCCTGGGCAACAGAGCAAAACCCTGTCTCAAAACAAAAACAAAAACAAAAACAAAACAACAAAAAATTGGCCAGGCATGGTGGCTCAACGCCTGTAATCCCAGCGCTTGGGGAGGCCAAAGCGGGCTGATCATGAGGTCAGGGGTTCTAGAGCAGCCTGGCCAACATGGTGAAACCCTGTCTCTACTAAAGATACAAAAAATCAGCTGGGCGCAGTGGTGCGAGCCTATAATCCCAGCTACTCAGGAGGCTGAGGCAGGAGAATCGCTTGAACCCAGGAGGCAGAGGTTGCAGTGAGCTGAGATCACACCATTGCACTCCAGCCTGGGTGACAGGGCGAGACTCCATCTCAAAAAAACAAAAATACAAAAACAAAAAATAACCCAATGAATGGGTTTGATAGCATGTTAGATACAGTTTGAGAGAATTAGTAATTGGAGACGGCCAATAACACCATCTAGAATGCAGCACAGAGAGAAAGAGAAGGAACTATGAAAAGAAGTGAAGAGACACAGTGTACTGGAAAGGTCTAGTAAATGTCTAATCGAAATCCTAGAAGGAGAAGAGAGGCAGAACAGGGAAGAGTCGTGATTTGACAAAATATGGACTGACAATTTTCAGGAAGAGATACCAAGTCATATATTCAAGAATGCCAATTAGTGTCTCTCTCTCTCTCTCTCTCTCGGTGTGTATATATATATGTGTGTGTTTGTGTACACAACACCCTGCACTAAACACATCACAGTGAAATCATCAAAGACAAAGAAATAATTTTAAAATTAGCCAGAAAGAAAAGACAGATTATCATGAAAAGAGTCTTATTAGACAGATAGTTGATTCAACATAGCGACAGTGAAAGTCAGAAGCGAGTGGAAACATGATTTCAAAGTGCTGAGGGGAAAAAATAGCCAATATAGAATTGTATGTGCAGCAAAAATGCCTTTCACGGATATAGACAAAATACAGACATTTTCAGGCCGGGTGAGGTGGCTCACACCTGTAATTCCAGCACGACGGGAGACTGAGGAGGGTGAATGACCTGAGGAGTTTGAGACCAGCCTGGCCAACATGGTGAAACCCCATCTCTACTAAAAATATAAAAATTATCTGGGTGTGGTGGTGGGTGCCTGTAGTCCCAGCTAGTCAGGAGGCTGAGGCAGGAGAGAATAACGTGAACACGGGAGGTGGAGGTTGTAGCGAGTTGAGACTGTGTCACTGCACTCCAGCCTGGCGACAGAGCGAGACTCCATCTCAAAAACAAACAAACAAACAAACAAAAAAACCCTGATATTTTCAGAAAAACAAAAATTGAGTTTGCCACTTGATGTATTTCTGCTTACTTCTTTCTCTCCTTTCTACTATTGGACAAATACTCATATAAAAAGCTGAAAAGAGAGATTCTGCTGGAAGAATGCACGGATAGATTAGTTCTGGAATAATGCCTGATACACAGCACCCAGAACCTCCCCTGGACTTGAGATCTTCTTACAGTTGCTTCATCAGGGTTATATAAATCCGAGTTCTAGCCCAGTTGTTAATTCTTTTTCTTTTTTTTTGAGACAGAGTTCCGCTCTGTCTCCCAGGCTGGAGCACGGTTGTGTGATATTGGCTCACTGCAGCCTCTGCCTCCCAGGTTCAAGTGATTCTCCTGCCTCAGCCTCCTGAGTAGCTGGGATTACAGGTGCACATGACCATGATCAGCTAATTTTGGTATTTTTAGTAGAGAAGAGGTTTCACCATGTTGGCCAGGCTGGTCTCTAACTCCTGAGCTCAAGTGATCCACCCACCCTGGCCTCCCAAAGTATTGGGATTACAGGTGTGAGCCACTGTGCGCAGCCAATTGTTATTGCTTTTTTTCTTTT